TTCAATTTCAGATAGCTCCTCTTTCCAGCTTACACTTTTCGATATCTGTAGGCCCCTTCTGGTGTAGTTGGTGTTACCTTCAGGGATTTTAATCTGTTGCACCAGTCCTTTCTGAAGCGGTTCCCTTTGTTTATTTGGCTTCTGTTTGCCGTCTGTTTGGTGTCTAATTTCTGCCCTGACACAGGCGGGCGGAGGTAATCTCTTATTTAGGTTCTCTAGTTCAGTTCAGTCCTGCTACGGGGAGGGCGGGGCGCTGCAGACAGACACCGCTCTGTGTGGATAGCACTCACCGTGTTCCGGCCACACTGGGTTTGCCCCGCTCACGGGTGTCAGTGCTTTTGCCGTCTACACTGCTCAGGCTCCCGGCTGCTCTATATGGAGCGGGCCCTGCGTTGAGTGCGGTTCCAGTTTTCGGGTACTCCACAAAAGCGCAGATTCGGTTGCGCCTGCGTTTTGTGCCTTCCCCGGCCTGAGCGGCTCAGGCAGCCAGAGGCTTGGGCGTACTCTCCCTGGGTGTGGCACGCCTTTTCCCTCCGCGTCAAGCGGCCCAGGCAGCCAGAGGCTTGGGCGCACTCTCCCCGGATGCGGCGCGCCTTTTCCCTCCACGGCGAGAGGCTCAGGCTGCCAGAGGCTTGGGCGCAATCTCCCTGGGTACGGCGCGCTTTTTCCCTCCGCGCCCCCAGCGCGCACCGCCAGTCGGGTCTCAGGAAGTCTTTAGATAGGAACCGGGGGCCTGTTTGCAGTGTGGGAGGGGGTGGCTTCTCAGGGGCTGTTTGCCCTTTTCCCCTCCCCCCTGCCTCCAACCTCCAGCGGGGATGGGCCGGCTCTTCTCTGGACTTTCTCAGTCCCTTTGTTTTGCGAACCGCCGGCAGTGTGTTCAGGCCGGTTAATTTTGACCCTTGCTATCCCACAGTTTAAAAAAGCTCCCTCCGATTGCTCTCAGGGTCTTCGGGCCAGTCCTTACCCTAAGCAATGCCGCCCGCTCCTCTCCGTCCCGCCCCCGCTTGTTGCTGGCGGGTGCGGGCGTCTGGGGTACTTTTCTGCTGGGAGTTGCTTTTAGGCACGTAATCTGTGGGCCTTGTTTAATTTTTCCTCCCAGTTAGATTGCCGAAAACTTCCCCCAGTCCCGCCAGTGCGAGGGTTTCCTGGTGATTGGAAACTTCCTCTATTAAGACTCCCTTCCCGGACGGGTCTCCGTCCGTAGCTCTTTTGACTCCCTTTCTATCCTTTATATTTTGTCCTACCTCCCTTCGAAGACAATGGGCTGCTTTTCTGGGCGCCTGATGTCCTCTGCTAGCGATCAGAAGTTGTTTTGTGAAATTTGCTCAGCATTCAAATGTTCTTTCGATGAATTTGTAGGAGAGAAAGTGGTCTCCCCGTCCTATTCCTCCGCCATCTTGGCTCCTCCCCCAGCATACATATTCTTAAATCATTTGTTAAATTGGTAAGCCATTTGAAAATACTTAAGTGTACTTTATAAATTAGGATTTTTCATCATGCTGCATGGAAAAATGAGAATTATATGCCATTACAAGGACACAGCAGACCTAGAAAAATGGGTACAAAAGCTAGTTCTGAAGCCAGATTGCCTGGGTTAATATTCCTCTACCATCATTCACTAATGTTACTTAACCTCCTTGGTCCTTAGATTCTTTTTCTGTAAAGTACACATAATAGTAGCAAAAATTTCATGAGGACTTATTGAGAAAAATGCAAACAAGTATAGCAGTGTTTAATATGCATGTGTATGCATGCTAAAGAGCTTCAGTCTGTGTCCAACTCTTTGAGACCCTAATGGACTGTAGTAACCCACTAGGCTCCTCTGTCCATGGAATTTGCCAGGCCAGAATACATGTAGTTTTCTTTAGTATACCATTCTGTTTATGGGGTGGGGAGTGGGTATGGCTAATGCGCCTAAACATGGTGCTTTGTCCTGACAGTTGTGAGGAGGGTGCTTTATGAGGGGTATACTAGCATGGGACGTCAGAGCAAGAGAGAATGATAGTGATGTTCAGATGAGAGTGGAAGGGAGGGTATCAGCACAGCAGGAAGTTGGATTCTAAATGTAGTCCAAGTGATGAACGCCAGAGCCTGAGCAAAGTGGGAAGAGTATATATCTGTGAGAGGTGTCCCAAAATGAAATGTGGACCTGTGTGAGCTAAGGAGGATGTTCTGGCACCCGGACATGGCAGCCTGACACGAAATGCTGGAACACAAGTTGGTGGAGGAGTCCTCCGCGTGATAGGGGGAGCCATACACAGGATGTCAGACCCCATCTTGAGTGAGGAGGAAATCTGTAACTGGAGAAAGTACAGCGTTACCAAACAGAACTCTCCACTATATACAGTAGTTCAGACTCAGTATTACTCCACTGTCTCTATTTAATTTGACATGCAGAATACAGTTATAACTATTTTAATGTCCATGTCTGCTATTGCTAGTAGTGTGCATGCATGCCCAGTTGCTAAGTCATGTCTGACTGTTTGTGACCCCATGAATTGCAGCCTACCAGGCTCCTCTGTCCAGTGGGATGTTCCAGCCAAGAATACTGGAGTGGGATGCCATTTCTTTCTCCATTTCCTAATAGTATATATCTTTGCATATGTTTAAATGAGATGCAGAGTGTGTTGGGGTAGCTCTGAATTTTATGTTTATAAGAGAGTCTCACATTAGTGCTGTGAGATGCAGTGTGTTGAATGACTGTGGATAGTGTCTGTGGTATGATTGATGTCCTACTCTTTTACGAACCATGGCTTTCTTCTTCTCTTTTTTAAACATGAGTGACTCTGACACTTCATGTAGTCTTAAAAAATCATAAAACGTAAACCTCTAAGTCCCTAAGAAGTCAACTTCTCTACTAGAGTTATCTTTATGATAGACTCAGTCCCTGTCGGAAAACATAAGTAAAGAGTTGTAGAACACTCTTTACTAAGTGTACTAAGAGAGAATGTAGTAGAATATAGAAGACATCACTGCCAAGAATACATGAATGGGTGACTGACTGTAGACTGGATGACTGACTGTATAAGTATAGGTCTTTATACATCAATGGATGGAAGTGTATACATTGTGATTCCTCTGGGATCTGCTCTTCAAAGATAAATTTACATCTATAAAAATATAATTTTGTTTGTTTACATCTACATGATTTTAAAACAGCACTATGGTACTAATTTTTCCTGAGGACAAAAACAGAGTATTGTTTTATCCCAATCCATCGTCTCTCACTTTCTTCCAGAAGGAATCCTTTATTAATTTTTTTAAAAAATTTGTTTCTATTGTTTAATTTTTGGCTACACTTTTAAGTAATATGATTTTATTAAAGAGTGTGTATTTATTTCATATTTTTCCAGAAAAGGTCAGTCACATTAGCTCCCTTACATTCCCCCCATATCCAAACCTAGTTGCTTCACTATTTTGCTTCTGCTTCTAAATTTAAACAAAACACTTAAATATAACTGTATTTAAGCAATAATATATAATCTCTTTCTACTCATCTTTGGAGGTAAACACATAAATATTAATACCATTTCCTCCAATTATGCCATGTTTAAGATATTTATTGAAATGTGGATATTTATTATTTCCTAATATATTATATGAGTAGGGCATGACAACCCACTCCATTATTCTTGCCTGGAGAATCCCCATGGACAGAGCAAGCCTGGCAGGCTATGGTCCATGGGGTCAAAAGAGTCAGACACGACTGAGCAACAAAACACACACACAATATATTATATATGTGTTTTTGAAAGAGATATTTCAGATTTTATTCAAGAACATATTTGTTAATGTTTGATACTATTCTAGCACCAACTTAAAAGTAACGACAATACTCACTTTGATGATTTTATCACTCTCTCGTATTTTGAAAAATCAACATATCATTTTAAAGGAGCCTATCAAACAACCTAGAAATTAATTGTAAAAATGAACAGTATCACTTGAAGTATTTATTTAAATAGCTTGAGGTTTATGTGGTTTATTGAAATATCTTATTCTTTATTTCTGCAGGTATAATTAACAGGATATTGAATATTGAATATTGTTTTTGTGTGTGGCCATACTGCATGGCATGTGGGATCCTAGTTCTCCCACCAGAGATTGAATATGCACCCCTTGCAGTGAATGCATAGAATCTTAACCACTGAACCTCTGGGGGAGTCTCCAGACGCCTGAATATTTACAGGTGTGACATAGATGTGGGGAAAGTGCAGAAACTTCTTTCAGAGTCATCTTAGCCAAAGTAAATGTATTCAACATAAGTGGATATATTAAGAAACAGAATCCAAGAATGAAATTTTTCTAAGCATTGGGATAAAAATAGAGAATAATATTCTTAATTTTCATTGCTACTTAATCAATGACTGAAGCTTTCTAGACTGAAATACTTCTAGTAGATCTTACATTTAATAGCAGTTATTCATTGTCCTCACTCTGAGTAGTTATTCAGAAAGAATTGAAAACATTCAAAGGATCCATTCCTTTATGTAAAGATGACTAGAATTAATGCTGCCCCACAAGAGTTAGATGCATTATATTCTGTATTAAAAATCTGTGTTTTTCTCCCAGTAGAAACATTTAGAAACTGATTTGGGCTGTGCCCCCCAAACATATCTTTATGGAGCTTATAAACAGTAGCTGGTTCCAGCCACCCACTCTCCTTTTAACAGGCATCCCTGGACTGGAAGCTGTGCAAATATGGATTTCTATCCCACTGTGTTTCATGTACCTAATTGCCCTCCTAGGAAACAGCACTATCCTCTTCATCATCAAAACCACCTCCAGCCTTCACGAGCCTCAGTACTTCTTCCTGTCTATGTTGGCAGCCACAGATGTGGGTCTGTCTTTATCAACTCTGCCTACAGTCCTCAGTGTCTTCCTCCTGAATCACAGAGAGATTGAGTTCCACTCCTGCCTAATGCAGATGTTCTTTATCCACACCTTCTCCTCCATGCAGTCAGCCATCCTGCTGGCCATGGCCTTTGATAGATTTGTAGCTATTTGCAACCCACTGCACTACAAAGTAGTCTTAACCCATTCTCGGATTATGGGGATGGGGCTTGCCTCCATGACTAGGGGTGTAGTGTTGATGGTACCTTTGCCAATACTGCTCAAGCGACTGCCCTTCTGCAAGGACGTCATTCTATCACATAGTTATTGCTACCACCCTGATGTTATGAAGCTGGCTTGTGGCCCTATCACAGTCAACATCATTTATGGGTTGTCCCTTGTCCTGTGCTCCTTTGAAGTTGACTCTATGTTCATTGTCACTTCATACAGCCTAATTCTGAAAACAGTGCTGGGTATTGCCTCCAAAGATGGTCAGCTCAAGGCACTTAATACTTGTGTTTCCCACATTTTCACTGTCTGCATCTTTTATGTGCCACTCATTGTGTTGGCCCTAATTCATAGGTTTGGCACATTCACATCTCCTCTTCTTCATGTCACCATGGCCAACCTCTTCCTCTTCTTGACTCCTGTTCTTAACCCCTTAGTTTACAGTCTAAAAACAGAACAGATAAGGTTCGCAGTGCACAAGGTATTCAAGAGCAGGAAAAACTTGCTCATATAATCAAATATGAGTTATATAATAAAGCTAAACTGATAAAAACAGAAAGTAGAATGGTACTTGGCAGGGACTGGGGAGATGAGGAAATAGGAAACCTTTTGTCAGAGTGCACAAACTTCTAGTTATGAAATGAGTAAATTCTGGGTATCTAATGTATAACATGGTGATGTAGTTAATAATACTACATTATATACTTGAAAATTGCTTAGAATGCATTTTAAGTGTTCCAACCACGAAAAGGAAATGATAATTATGTGACTGTGTAGATCACAAAAAACTGTAGAAAATTCTTCAAGAAATGGGAACACCAGACTACCTGACCTGCCTCCTGAGAAATCTGTATGCAGGACAAGAAGCAACAGTTAGAACTGGACATGGAACAACAGACAGGTTCCAAATCAAGAAAGGAGTATGTCAAGGATGTATATTGTCACACTGCTTATTTAACTTATATGAAGAGTACATTATGAGAAATGCTGGGCTATCCAGCCCAGCAGAAGCACAAGCTGGAATGAAGATCACCTGGAGAAATAGCAATGGCCTCAGATACGCCAATGACATCACACATATGGCAGAAAGTGAAGAAGAACTAAAGAGCCTCTTGATGAATGTGAAAGAGGAGAGTGAAAAAGTTGGCTTAAAACTCAACATTCATAAAACTAAGATCATGGCATCTGATTCCATCACTTCATGGCAAATAGATGGGGAAAGAGTAGAAACAGTGACAGACTTTATTTTGGGGGGGTTCCAAAATCACTGTAGATGGTGATTGCAGCCATGAAATTAAAAGATGCTTGCTTCTTGGAAGAAAAGTTATGATCAACCTAGACAACATATTAAAAAGCAGAGACATTACTTTGCCAACAAAGGTCCATGTAGTCAAAGCTATGGTTTATCCAGTAGTCATGCATGGATGGAGAGTTGGACTGTAAACAAAGCTGAGAGCTGAAGAATTGATGCTTTTGAACTACAGTGTTGGAGGAGACTCTTGAGAGTCCCTTGGACTGCAAGGAGATCCAACCAGTCCATCCTAAAGGAAATCAGTCCTGAATATTCATTGGAAGGACTGATGCTGAAACTGAAACGCCAATACTTTGGCCACCTGCTGTGAAGAACTGACTCATTTGAAAAGATCCTGATGCTGGGAAAGATTGAAGGCAGGAGGAGAAGTAGACAACAGAGGATGAGATGGTTGGATGGCATCATTGACTCAATGGACATGAGTTTGAGTAAACTGCAGGAGTTGGTGATGGACAGGGGGTGCTGGCATACTGCAGTCCATGGGGTCACAAAGAGTTGAGCACAACTGGGTGACTGAACTGAACTGACTGAATTATGTGACACAATGGCGGTATTAACTAATTCTACTCTGTGATAATTTTGTAATATATAAGTGTATCAAATACATACATTATATGCCTTATACTTGCAGAATGTTATATGTCAATTCTAGTTCAATAAGACCAGGGAAATTTGTTTTGTGATTTTCAAAAAGAAGAAAAAAATAAGCCTAAACAATAGAATCAAGGGCACAATTGGTAGACAGCAACAGAGTCATAATAAAGTTCATGCTTCTTCAACAACAAAAATGGATATATTCAAAAAGAAATTTTATATAAAATAAATTATAGAGTCCAAAAGTCTGTTCCGTACATCTGTGTCTCTTTTTCTGTTTTGCATATAGGGTTATCATTACCATCTTTTAAAATTCCATATATATGCGTTAGTATACTGTATTGGTGTTTATCTTTATATTTGGACTCTGTGGGAGAAGGTGAGAGTGGGATGTTCTGAGAGAATAGCATTGAAACAAGTATACCATCAAGGGTGAAACAGATCACCAACCCAGGTTGGATGCATGAGACAAGTGCTGAGGGCTGGTGCACTGGGAAGACCCAGAGGGATGGGATGGGGAGGGAAGTGAGAGGGGGGATTGGGATGGGGAACACATGTAAATCCATGGCTGATTCATGTCAATGTATGGCAAAAACCACTGCAATATTTTAAAGTAATTAGCCTCTAAATAATAAAAATAAATTTAAAAAATTATAAAATACAGATAAAGTCAATGTTCAAATATGAAGCAGACAAAAATATGTCATATTGTTGGAGTGCAAGAAAAAGGGATGATTTCACCTGCACTTTAAAAACTTTCCTTCAAATTGCACAGTAATTATGATATAAGATCCTCATAGGAGATAATCGATCCCTAGATAAATCTGATTTAGCTCTATCTAAAAGTATAATGATTTAAATGTAGACATAATCTAGAGATTAAAATGGAGCAAAATTCATGATAAAATAGATTAGAATTGACAAATACTGTGAGGTAAGGGCCTTGGAGAAATTCTTGATGAAATAACAATTGTTTGCTAGGCCAGCAAATATGCCTAATTAAGTGCATGCCAAGTCGCTCAGCTGTGTCTGACTCTTTGCAGTCCTCTGGACTGTAGCCCACCAGGCTCGTCTATCCATGGGATTCTCCAGGCAAGAATACTGGAGTCAGTTTCTATGCTCATCTCCAGGGGATCTTTCCAACTCAGGGATTGAACTTGAGTCTGCTGTTCTGCAGGCAGATTCTTTACCATGAGCCATCAGGAAAGCCCCTAGTTAAGTGATATTTATATTGTTCTAAGAAACAACTGGATGTCTTATTAAGAGTTTCATGTCAATAATAATACTCTTTCCACTCCAGTCAGTCATTTACAGGCCAGAAAAGAAGTAAATGATAGCTAAGATATTAAAATGTGAGGCTTTATAAGGATATGCTCAGATTATTACTAAATTCCATTTATTGTTATGAGAGGATAAATGCTTCAGCACCATGCACACAACCCTGGCCAAATACTGAGCTCAGAAGCTTGGTGTTTGCCTTCTGTCTCTTTTTAAATTTTTTAAATTTTTGTATAGGTATGTTGTATTATTCATCTTAGGTAAAAGTTTTCATTTTAATTGTGCTTACATATTTCCGTTTGAGAAACTGAGAGACCATGTAATACATATTTTTTCTTGTTTGGTTGGTTTTTTGGGTTTGTGATAATCCAAACATTTCCTCTGTAATTTTTTAGTGGAATTTATGAAGAGAATTTTATCTCTTCTTATTCTCCAAATTGCTTTAGCACACAAGAATTGGACCTCCAACTGGAATTTAAGGAGTTATAACTCAAGTCTTTGGTGATATACTGTTTTGTTTATATCTCATTTATGGGGAAAGCAGGACCCTTTGTCCTTTCAAGAGCAGACATAAAAACCTATCAACTCCTATCTTCATTTGCTGTTGCAGTAGGGGGTCTGTATTTGAGGGTTACTTCAAATGTTCACTTAGCTTTTTGAAAATATTGAAAACCATGAATTGTATGCTTTAAAATGATATTATGGAATATGAATTACATATTTACTCTCTAATTAATAGTTATAAGTTTTTGAAGGATGCTTAAAACTGTATATGATTGAAACTATAATAAACTAAACTACAAAAGGATGGAGGATGATACCAAGTGTGATAATAATTGTGTTAGGAGTGGGGAGATTGTGAGTGATTCATGCACTTTTAAATGTTCTAGACTTTTAATAAACCTGTTATGTTTGTTCATATTTGCCCATCTAAAATTTTAGTTATGTGCTATTTATAATAATTTAAATTTTCCATACATTTACATTTAAAATCTTAAGTTAAAATTCTGTGAGCAACCTAGAGTGGTGGGAAGAGGTGGGAGGTGCCAGGGAGGCTTAAGAGGGCGGGGACATATGTATACCTCTGGCTGACTCATGTATGGCAGAAACCAATACAGTATTGTGAAGCAATTATCGTTCAATTAAAAATAAATAAATTTACTTAAAAAGCCTGTGAGCCTAGTTTATAAAGATTCTAATAACATCACATAGTAAATAATGTCATAAATAATACCTTTATAGTCTTTGACCTATGTTAGGACATTTTTAAATATGTAACAAACTCTGTACTTACTTTAAAGGATTATTGCAAAGGCAGGAAAAATTGATCAATGGAGACAAAATAGCTCAGCTAATCATTTATAAGATTTTTAAAAAAATGGGAATTTAAATGGTCTGTATCTGGCCTTGTCACAGGTAAGGAAGAGGGCATCTCTGAACCTCATCTGTGTCATTTGGGGAAGGGTGGTTCCTTGCAGTAAGCCACTTCCTAGACTAAAAAAAGTTAGAGAACTCTTAAACTGTGCTGTGTGCAAATTAATCATGGGAAACCTCACAAAAATGCAATTGGAAAGCCAAAAGGGGCAGTTCTCAGGCTTGATGTCAATACAGATCCTGACCTGAAGATATGCTTTGTGTATCCGGCAGGAAGTGACAGTAATTTATTATTAGCAGGAGGAAGAAATATTTTCTCCTTGCCTGGCAATAGCACAGTCAATGAAGACTGTTACCACGTAGCCAATAAAAAGCTGCTATACTACAAATTCCTTTTCCTCCAATGTTTTTTTTTTTTTTTTTTAATACTCCCCCGCCCTGCCCCCAACTTCCCCTTCTCTGTAAAAGTTTCCTCTGTTTTGTTTTATGGGGATTGCATGCTGTTTGCCATAATTTCAAGTGCATGTGTGTGCTCAGTCATGGTGTGTGTCTGACTCTTCACAACTCCATGGACTGTAGCCCTCCAGGCTACTCTGTCCATTGAATT